CTTTGAGAATTCTCCAGCTTTTGTTTAGAATCTACTCATAAGCTAGCTATCTCCTCTCTGCTGTGTTCACAGTTTATCTCAACATTCATATAGTTAATTTTTTTGGCAGTAACTTTTCCTTGTTATTATTTCAGAAATTATGTTACATTTCTTTCTTTCTCTTTCTTTTCCTTCCTTCCTCCCTCCCTCCCTCCTTTCTTTCTTTCTTTCTTTCTTTCTTTCTTTCTTTCTTTCTTTCTTTCTTTCTTTCTTTCTTTCTTTCTTTCTTTCTTTCTTGTTTAAGTACTCCCATGAGTATGGCATCAGTGACATCAGAAGATGAAGGTACTGAATAAGGTATTTTCGGCAGGGTGCCTAGTCTTAGGACTTAATTCTGCCTTATGAAAACATAGACAATAAATAAACAAACAGATGTGGGTCAGTTATTAAAAGCAAAAAACAAAAACAACCCATATTTGAACACAGGCCAAGTAGGCTTCTGTGATCCCAGCACTTGGGAGGTTGAAACAGAGGAATCATTTGAGTTCAAGACTACCCTGGGCAACACAGTGAGATCCCATCTCAAAAAAAAATAATGGAAGGAAGGAAGGAAGGAAAGAAAGAAAGAAAGAAGGAAGGAAGGAAGGAAGGAAGGAAAGAAAGAAAGAAAGAAAGAAAGAAAGAAAGAAAGAAAGAAAGAAAGAATGAAAGAAAGAACGAACAGCAGACAGGTCTCTGCAGCCAGAGAAATATTTGTGCGGATATGGAAAATATTTGTGTAGATTTGATAGTTGGCTGCAGTCACCTTATGGCCAAGCTTGTCTTCTCCTATACATACCTAAGAGGAATGAAGATACTCATCAGTGCCAAAACTTACACATGTATGTTTACACAATTATTGTTTATATTAACCCCAAAGAGAAAGCAGCCCAAATGTCCCTCAACTGAATGAAAGATTTAATAGAGTCCTTATGGTGAACTGTTGTTTGGCAGTAAGGTGCTGGGTATAATAAAAGGTCTGTGTAATGATGCGGATGAACTTTGAGCACATTATGCTTAGTTAAGAAGCCAGACATGCAAAACCATGTGTTCTAGGATCCTACTGTATGAAACTTTCAGAGCAAACATCAAGACAGAGATGGAGAGGAGACAGGTTCATAGTGCTCAGGAGGGTGGAGAATGGGGACTGAGGACGGCTGAGTGGGAGGTTTCGTATGAACCAAGGGAAATGTTCTAAAGTTAGATTATCGTGCAGTTCCACAACTGTATAAACACATGGACGCTCCACAAACTGGACAACTTAAACAGAGCAGCTTTTATGCTATATAAACTGTATCTCAACAAAGCTTTCCAGGTTAAACAGAGAAAGTGGGGACAGAATTTGCTGAGTGGCTTGCATGGGCTGAATATGCTCTTTACTGCTTCCTACGTTTTAGGGTTTTTAACTAACTCATTATAAATCTTTTACAGACCTCTACATAGGATCAGATTCATGAATTAAATTCATCTTTTGTTACATTTTAAGTTCTGAGCTTGTAGTTTCCTTTCTGGTTCAGATTGCAGTTAATATTGAATAGAAAACATTTGTTCCTTTATTCATTTTATCTTTCTCAACTATCACCATTAGAATGGTTCTGTTGTTGCCTCTTCTAAACACTCCTGAGGCTTTCAGAGACCTCAGGGCATATTTTGGGGTTTTGGTCCTTCTGTTTCCATGGTGTAGCGAGGCAGATACAGTTTCTAACCCTAAAGAGCCTGGCCGTGGGATTTAATGAGATGCAACTGTCTTCTTGGCTTGTATATTCCTTTAAGTCAGAGCTGAAGCTACTGTGGCAACTCCCCGAGCCTCCACCACGAATGATCCATTTCCGAATCTTCCTGCCATGGGTTAGAACCTTATGGGCCCACTTTACCACCAGAGGAGAGGACAGCTTGCAGCCCCATCTTTCTGCTCTCAGAGTGTTAGGGTTTGTCTCTGATCACCATTTCATGCTTCTGCTCTATTTCTAATCCACAGAGGTATACTCATCCTACTTTTAATATTCTTTCGTTACTATGTTATCTTTAGCTACTACCTATATTTGAGTAGAGTAGAAAGGTAAAACACTAATTTACAGTGCCACTTTAATTGGATATTTTAAAGGTCAGTGCAATCCAATTTTAACAAGAAGACTTCAGCAAAGTACTAAATGCTCCTGATTAGAGTAGGAAAAAAAAGTTTTTTTTTTCTCCCTAGAAATTCTGGATTTGCTGTATATGGGGCACATTAAGTACAGTTAAATGAACTATTGAAAAGGTAAATCCAAACATAGCTCTGAGATCCACAGAAGGCAAGGCCAGGAAAAAAAATTAGTGGAATATGGACAAATAGATCAATAAGATAAATCGTTCAACTCTACTTTTATGATGTAGTAGCACCTATTCTTGTGATATTCATAGGGTGCCCATTACTACAATTTTAAGTTTTATAGTTCCTCAAATATTGCTCATTTATTCAATTACATAAGAATACCAACCACGTTGTTGCTATCCAGTGAGTACTCTGCGAGACCTCAGAGGCACAGAAAAGAATCTTGACTATTCCTTGTTCTCAGGGAGTTATTTGTATAAAGTTAACCACACAGAGCTAAACAAGCCACAGACTCATCCGATGACAAGGACTGTCGTAACTACAGAAATGAGGACATTCGAGGAAGGAAGGATTCCGTTTGCAGTGATGCTACAGAGAGGCAATGCCAGAGCTGTACAAGTGTGATGCTGAATGGAGTGAGCCTGGGAGAAGTTAACTTGTGTTCATACAATTTTAAACTGCATTTAACGTTATTCGGGGAGTTAGTGAAGATTCTGGGAGTATGATTAACCACATCTACCTTTCTCAATCATTTAGAAGTCCCCATCCTTACAGGACAAAGGTGGATGTATCAGGTAATTTTAGGAAAAAGTGAGGTTGACAAGGTCAGAATGTAGGATAAATCATAACTAATTTATGGGGCAGCAGTGATTATTGGGTACTCTTGTTGGCTACAGACACCAGACTTTGGTTTTGGGCACCTCAGAGCTGAAGAGCAAAAATAGGCACTTCATAGTTTTGAAGTCTAGCCAACTGAGTTACTGAAATGAAGAAAAAAAGAGACTAGATAAGAAGAGACTGATAAGAAAGATGTAAAGAGCCCAGGCATTAGGCAGTTACTATTCTGACTATATTATCATTAGAATAAGGGAATAGTAGTACCATAAATGTTTTACATTAGGAAGACTTAATAAAGCAATGTTTTTGTATTTCCTTGCAGAGTGGGTCACCTAGTTGAGATACAACTGTGATGTATCTCATGTTCAATGCATGAGAGATCTGTGTTCTGATAACCAGAGTACTGTCTTGGTCCAAGAAGTACGGGGGAGACTTAGGTCTTTAAAGGATTAGCTGCCTCTGCTAGTTCTCCACATTATTAGCATTGATAAAATGGATACATGTGCTGGCTCTATTTCTTCCTTCCTTCCTTCCTTCCTTCCTTCCTTCCTTCCTTCCTTCCTTCCTTCCTTCCTTCCTCTCTCTTTCTCACTCTCACTCTCCTTTATTTTTTCTTCCATTTTTTTTGAGACAGGGTCTCTACATAACCCTGGATGTCCTGGAACTTACTATGTAGACCAGGGTGGCCTTGAACTCAAAGAGATACTTGCCTCTGCCTCCCAAGTGCTAGATTTAAGTCATGTACTAACACTCACAACGCTAGTACCTTGTGACTAACCAAAAGACATTTTATTTAAGGAAAAAAAACCCTTTCCCTTTAAGACATACTGGCCGTTTTACTACAATGAATCACATGTTGAATAAAAACATTCCAGGAATTAAGACAAATTAGGAATTCTACATTGAATATTACCTTTGTGTTGATGAATTTAAGGCTACTCATGACTGCAAATACTTCTCTGTACACCTTATTATGCCAAATGAGAGTGGGAGAAGAGCTGCCAGGCACCTACGGCTGCGGGAGAAGCACCTGGGGTGCGCCTCTCATTTGTCTACCCAGAATGCTTCTGCATCCCAATCCAGTGTAGGCGCAAGAAAGCTTCCTCATGTCACATGCACCTTTTAACTGACTACATCTCCTCAGCAACGCATTAGGTAAGCTTTCAGGGACAACATGGTGCTTGAACTCTGAGAAGTATCTAAAATGTGATTAATTCCCCCTGGCTGGGGAATTAATTTGACAATGAGCTTGTAGAAGCCAAGGAAAGAAAAGATCACTAGCCCATGAGATGCCCCTTTCTAGTTCAAGTCTCATCTCAGTTTCTCGGGTACTCACACAGTGGTTAAGTGACATTTTTCTGTCCTTAGGTATATGGTTATTGTTCTTGGTTAAGGAAATTTCTAGGCAACTCTATTTTAAGTACTACAAAAAGGGAATCCGATCATAAAAACCTGTGCTGAGCATGATTCAAAGGGAAAAATGAGGCACGGTGAAAGCCAGTTTGGACTGGAAAAATCTGCACCGTTAACCAGACATGTGCAGCCACTTATGAGGCTCTCTGATTACACATGCGTTAAAATGTCTGTCAGCACGACCAGAACGAAGGCCACATGCAAAATGCAGTGCTCCAGAGCCCCACAGAGCCTTGCGTGACACTGAGGTCTCAGAATCCGCAGGAAGTGAAATGAGTTCACTGGCTGAATGCAGGTTGTTATTGCTTAAGTTGGGGAAAGCCTGGGAAGCTGTTCCCGAAGCCGGTGACTCACTGGCCTGGACAGTAACACCTTCAGGGAAACTGGAAACAGCAGCAAAATCCACTGGCCTGAGGGAAGAGAGCTGCCAGGAAGTTCCAAGCAGCAGACACCAGAAAACGTAGCTTAGTTCAAGGCTGAACTAAGCGCTGAAAGCTGCGCCTAGTTTCATCCCTTTATTTCACGTAGAAAAAAAAAATTTAAGCAAAACAACAAAAACACCAAACCCCAAGAAACCACCATGGCATTTCCCCTTGGAGGAGTTCCCATCTCTAAAATGCAAAAATAATTCCTTCCTAACCTGCTGCGTTTGTTCGTCCTCTGAAGATGTCATCGTAACCTTTCCACTGCGGCTTCAGCTGGTACGCATGAATGAACACCACAAACACCACCACGAGGCACGTTAGAGGGACGAGAGCAGCCGTGAACAGAGCAGCATAGATGTTTGGGATGAAGCATCTGAAAAGAGGAGGAAAGCAGAAACTCAGAGGCACATCAAAATCGTGTGTGTGTGTGTGTGTGTATTTCCATACTTTTTCCTTTCACCATTTTTTATTTGTATCTAGATGCTGAGGAAAGTAAATTTTGTCATACTGAACTAAAGCTGTCATAGAGAAGAGGGCACGCAGGTCTATCTACATACACTTCATCCAGGAGGTTCTGTGGTGAGTTCATCTCTTAGAAAAAAGAGAAAGTTTATAAATAAGTTTGCCAAAATGAACCTGACATTTGCATCCTATTTACTCCACAGATTCAGAGTACATGTACACCATTTTAAAGGGCAGAGAGTCAATTACCTGGACTTCAGAAGCCGAGTCATATGGAAGTCTATCACTGCATCTTGAATATCAGACTTTAGGAATATTTAGCCTTTGTATGCCTTCATTTTTCTTTAAAACAAAAATTACAATGGCCTCCACAATAGAAATCAGTTATGAAAGTTTACTGAATTAGTTTACTAACCACCTAGAAAGTTTTACTTAAACTACTATTTCTAGACTTAGGAAACAACATGTCTGCGTCTTGCTTTCACTAGGTCCATCTTCCTAAACATCCTCTGAGGAGTATGCTGGGATATGAAGGCTGGGGGATGGGGAGGTGGCTCAGTTGGAAAGACACTTTTTGAGAAAGCATGAGAACCTATCTGTGATCCTCACACACACATAAAGGCTAGGTGTGGTGCCGTGTCTTATAATCCCAGCCCTGGAGAGGAGGAGGGCTTGATGGCCAGCCTAGTCTAATTGCCAAGCTACAAGCCAACAAGAGACCCTGTGTCAAAAAAGAAGACAGACAGGTCTGGAGGAACAACATTCAAGATTAGCTACTGGTCTCCACATGTGTACCCATACATACAAGCACGTGTACATGCACACAACATGCACACACACTCCCCAAATACCAAAATTGGAGGTTTTTCTACTTTGGCATTGACACTATCTTGGTTTTGCTCTGCCCCAGTTTCCTTTAAGATGAAAACTTTTCATCTTGGAGGGAAAGTTCTTGAGACATTCAGAGTGTATATCTCTTATTTTTCCCAACTTCTTTTTTTTGATGCATAATATCTATAAGCTTACATTATGTTATAGGCATAGTAAACTTTGAAGAAAAGTCAAGGAAATATGTTTAGAAAAAAAAATCTCAAAATATCATGTACCAATGAGTATATGTGGAACACAAATTGGACTTCGTATATTTGGGGGAAGGCACAAAGGTAGGAGGGTGGACCTGGGAGGAATGAGGAGCCAGTGTGATCACAGTGCATTGTATGATGTTCCCAAATAGTCAATAAAAATATGTTGGAAAAACAAACAAAAATAGAAAATCTAGGTAGTTAGGCAAACACTCATTCTTGCAACTGGGAAAACAGTGTCTCTACCAAAGTTTAAGTGAAGAAGCTGGAGAAATGGTTCAACAGTTGGGAGAGTGTACCGTGCTACAGAGGACCCAATTTTGGTTCCTAGCTTCCTCACTGACTGCTCACAACTGTACACTAGCTCCAGAGGATCCACTGTCCTCTTCTGAGATCATCTAATGTCTACAGACACCTACACTCCTCTCTCTCTCTCTCTCGACACAAGCTAGAGTTATGTAAGAAGAGGAACCTCAAAAGAAAATAACTCCATCAGATTGCCTGTAGGCACATTTCTAGGGTGTTTTCTTGATTAACAACTGAGTGGGTTGTGCCACCCCTAAGCAGGTAATTGTGGGTTGTAGAAGAAAGCAGGCTGAGCATCCTCGGGAGCAAGACAGTAGGGTGGTTCTTCTGTGGGCTCTGGTTCAGTTGCTGCATCCATATTCCTGCCTTGAGTTCTTTCCTGACTTTCATTCATGAAGGGCCCCAACCTGTAAGGTGAAATAAACCCCTTCCTCCCCAAGTTGCTTTTGCTCATGGTATTTTTATTATAGCAGTAAAAACAAACTAAGATACCCTCCAACACATACAGGCATACATACACATATATAATTAAAATAAAAAATAAATTTTTAAATAAATAAATAATAATAGAGGTTAAACTAAATTATATTGTTAATCACCTTACTCCAATGAACATGAACCAGTAAATGGATATAAACAAGATACATGTTAAGATATGCTTCAACACATTCTTCATTCACAAAAGAATGTCAGAATGATGAATTTCCTTGTTTTCAGATTTAATTGGGATGACACAAAGCCAAAATCCTCTGTGCCTAGCTTTAGACCTATGGTTAAATAGAACAAGCAAACATTAATGGCTTGACACTAACATGTTTCTGTATTAAAAGCAGTGCTGTTATTGTCTTTTTGTTTTTTAAAATGGGTCTCCAACAACAAGCTGCTGTCTTTCACCTCAATGACAGCGCACAGGTGTAGACTTCACGTACCGACGGAGGACACCATACACGTGGGTTTCACTGCTGTAGCTCTTACTTGAAAATTGTCATCACAGTCCAGTTTAGGATTAATTATTGCATCTGTTGTGGTTTGAGTTAGGTGTATAAGCATAAGCATCCAGGAATGCCGTGACACTGGTAGATGGAGGATGCGGTCCAACACCCACCCTCCCCAGCAGCAGTCAATAGTCAGGTTCAGCCCTTTCTGCAGAATTTCCTAACCTTTGGAAGCTGAGCCCTAGATAACAACCAAGATCTTGGTTCATTGGTCCACAGGCAAAGTGGACTCCAGAAGGCCAGAGGTGACTGAGCATGTCTACAGCACATCCCAGGAGGAGAACAGACACCATCAAGTGCCACTGTTCTTAGACATCTCCTGTGTGGGTCTCCGTGCTTGTGTAACTTCAGTCTTAACGTTCTCCTTTTCTGTTTCTTCAGAGTCACACATGGCCTGTCATGAATGGTAGGGCCCTGAGGGTGCCCCACATTGGTCATGCACACACTCAGTGCGGGCCTGACATCTGACCGGCAACTCCTGCTGCTGTTTGCTCTAGCTGTGGCCTACAGTATGTCAAGACCCTTCCCTTTGCAAACATTTGTCCACTGTGGCAATACCCACCTCCCTCCAAGAAAAACAAGGACTTACCTCGTGAACTGCTGACTAGGGAATCCGGCAGTATTTCCGACTCACAAACATGCACAAATGAATCAGGGTGAAGGAGACACCCCCATACATACACAATGGGGGTCCCCCTAGACTCTGGGTTAGGCACAAACTATACCCAGACTACAGCTACAGAGACATCTTTATTAACAGCAGCCAATGACCTTGCAAGCGTAATTTTTAAGAAGAGAAAAGGGGGAGGGCTGTTTTAGAATGGGCTATGATGTGGTGGTATATTTGACTAGAAATGTTAACTTGCTGAGCCAAAGGGGGCTTTTGATTGTTGGACTTCAATAGTTTGATAGCTGGACCTTGGTAGTCATCCTCAGGAGGAAGGATTGGCCAAATAAGGGAACAGACTTTGGTGCGTAGCCATACATGTAATCTAATGGTTTTCACAAGGCAGAGGGAATGAGAGAGAAGGGCAAGGCTTGCCAGAGCCATGTTTGGCATGCTTGACATGGGCAGAGTCCCTTCAAGGACTGTGAGGTAAATCCCACATGCAGGTGGCAGGCAAGGCGTCCTGCTCATGTGATTCAGCCGTTGGGAAGAGTCTGGAGGAGGCTAAGTCACTGCATATTCCAAACTGTAACAGTCTTAATTTCTTGTCTTAAAATCTTATTTAACTGAAAAAAAATAAGCATGATTCTATTTTTCTAGCATTATATTATGAGTAGTATTTTACTGGGGTATAAGGAAAGTTATAACATATATTTTAAAAGGGCCAAAGACAAATGAACTCTATTGTATGCTTTCAAAATCTAGTCTTGCCAACCAGAATTTCTTCTCCTCCAGCAAAATAAAAACTAAATCGTGGTAGCTCTGAGCACTTGGTCACATGAAAGTGATAGGAGGCAGTAGGAAACTTGTGAGTACCATGGCAGAAGATTCTTTGACCTAAGTTAGGAACAAATTCTGGAAAAGACGGAAAGGAAGGCTAGGGAGACCAAGAGCTGTGCACATCAGGGCAGCTGACTAATATGCCGGCAGCCATGGCTTAAGAGCGCTGGCAGAATCTAAGAAATCAGATGAAGGCCATGTTGGCTCCCTTTCATAAAAAAGAATTAGCAAAGCATTTTTTTTTTTTTTTAATTCTCAGCTCACCAGCTTCAAAGGACTCTGGTGTCCCTCCCTCTTGGGACATTGGACACTTTTCTATGTTTTAGGATTTTACAATCACTTAACTGTTTTTGGTATTCCCTTTTAAACTTTCATAGTTTTTCCCCATCTTATTATTAGACAGTGCTAGTGTTTCTTGTCAGGACTCCATTCTTTCCTCTATTTTTAACCGGATGAAACAAGTAAATGCATCCAGTTATTTTCAGATTTTCCTCTTCCATGTTCCCCCTCAGCATTCACTAAGCCTGAGATCACTTTCTAGTTTCTTGAGGTTGTCACCTCCACCAGCAGCTCTGTATGCTCTCTAAAGTGTTTTCGCCTGTGCCACCTAACTCAGTTTTACAAAGTGTGTGTTGCGTGGGTTCTCGCTTTCTTTCCTTCTGCATGAAGCCAGCTGCAGCAGGGGCTCAGAAGCAGTAGCGTCTCACAGAGACACACTGCTGAGAGTCACTGTCTTTCCTGGGAGGGATACAGGGGAGGCATTATACTTAAGATTGTGGTCTGAGCTCACTTAAATTATATTTTAAAGAACAAGCTGACCCCGGCCAGCTGGGAGACTTGAAGACATCCAGCTGGCTGACATCTGAGTCATAGCTGGGTCACGTAGGTAATGAGACACAGTGTAGGAACTATAAGAGTAATAAGTGTCTGTTTGCAAAGCCTGCATGTCAGTGACGCTCGTTGGCTCCTGTGCCATTCTCCTCGGGTAGCTCTCTTTAGCACATCTTAAGAGATGGCATCGATAGCAAAAGGCACACTCATCTCCACCACCCTGTCTTTCTGAAAACATCAAATTTATACC